AAAGAAAGAAAGAAAGAAAGAAAGAAAGAAAGAAAGAAAGAAAGAAAACAAAAGCACAAAATAGATGTGAATTCCAGGGCATTTGGCAGCATTTCCTCAGCTTATTTGATCTGGAACATTTAGAAGCATTCACACCAAATGATCTCAGGCACACAGAGCCAGTGATCTTTTAGTATATAGTATCGATGTTTTGAAATTCTTCAAAATATATAAACCTAACCATCTGGATACAGATGTGAAACCGAAGGGAAATGTTTTTACGGAAACTGGCTTAACACTTGCCCTCCGAGACCGTTATGGATTCGGGCACAGAAACTAGTCACCAGCCTAAAACTCCTAAATGAACACGACTCCAAACAAGCAACAGCAAGCCAGCAGCGTTCTCGGCTCACATTATTTTCTTAATCTCTGTAAAGAAACCGAATGTGGAAATTATGTATAATACACTATGGGAGAAACTTACCCGAGAAAGACAAGGAGAAAGAAAACCAGTTGTCATTTGAATTAAACTCAAGTGAGGGGAACAAAACAAAACAAAACAACAACAAAGCCACTGCCTTATACCAGAGCTGGCAATACACTCATACGGAAATGTTTTAAGTTGGATGAAGATAATTTATGTCATGTGTGTGTCATAGTTTCCAAAATTTAAGCTGTTTATTTATTTATTTATTTAATTTTTTAACTGGATCAACTAAGGGGAAAACCTGTTCCAGTCTAGACATGGCGACTAGGTGCCTTCCACTGCAAGGCTATAGAGATATACAAGTTTAATCTTCTGCAGGAATCTGCCCTTTTTGGTTACTTTAAGAGAAACATCAATAATGTAGAGTGTAAATCCTAGCGGGCACCCACCTCTAAGGGCAAACAGGCTGGAGGCCAAGAGTTCAGCACTTAGCCTCCAGGCCTTCCCCCATCCTGCCTTTCCTGAAGCTTGAAAGTGGAGGGAGGTCTCTCTGCCTCTCTGTGCTGAGTTTGTCTGCGACTCCTTGCTCTGCTATGAAACCTCAAAGGAAATTGTTGGAGAATCAGGATGAACCCCTCCTGGACTCGCAACCACAGGCGTGGATTCCACCCCACGAGCCAAGAGGACAGTCCTGGTTTGAGAATAGCGGGAAGGAGGGAGCCAGGGAGTCCTCAGCACACACTACCCTATCCAGGTCCCCACACTGGGCTGGGGCTTTTGTGAACGGATGGCACTCTGAGAGGAAGGCCTTGGAGAACCAGTCGCAGTATTTTTTGGGCCCCGGGAAACCCCTTTATTTCACAGGACTAGTGAAACTTCTGCGTGAATCAATGATTGGTGTCCGGGATCTGCAAGCCAAGGCAAACCGAAACCCTGCACGTTTCTTAGGTCTTCACACAGACCCGTCATGCTTGTCTTGCCCACTTGATTCCTCCATAAACCGTGAGAGGACATGTTGCCATGTGCTCTCCAGCCTGCCCCGAGAAGCTGGGAGGGCGAAATGGGCCGGAACCAGGGAAGGAAGCCTTTTGTACTAAGAATGCCCAAGTGTGCAGCTGCTGAGCAGCGCTGTCCGCCGCCATTGCATGCACTCGGTTCGTTTCCTGTGCCACAATCTTTCCTCCTCCCCCAGGGTCACCTTGTGCCACAGGCCAACAGCTGAACAGTTTTAATAGGTACACTGTCTTTGTTCTGGCCTTTTTGTTGTGGCAGTCATTTTAATGTTCTAAGACTTAGATATTTGTACACTGATCCCTTTAGGATCTTAACAATTATACACCGTTTTATTGTCTGCGATGCGCCGCGTTTTCACTTTAGCTTGAATACGGATTGCTTCTAAATAGCATTACTTATTACAAATGGAAATAATGGTGTTCGAGGATGTTTTGGTCCCTCAAACACCACTGCAGAGAATCTAGACTTACACATTTGTTGTCTGACTTATTTAAATTTAATTTTATCTGGAGTAGGCCAGATAATATCTCCAGATATATTTTCTTTCCAAAAGCTTTTATTTTTGCTATATAATACCACAGGAGTCTCACTTTGTCAGCAGATACCACCTTAACACCTTTAGCTACCAATAATTTTCCTCTAGCTTCTTTTTCTCCGGTGATTCTGTTTCTACACAATGGGTATGTTTATATAAAGAGCAAAGAGGACACGTGGTGCATGCTGGGAATGTGAACAGAGCTGTCCTAAGCCCTCAGGAGGTCTG